AAAAAAAAAAAAAAAATCCATTCACTCAAAACATTCATTCATTCATTCAAAAACATGGAGAGCTCAGCACCTGTCAGGGCCTGAGCAGGGTGTGGAAGACACAGTGCTGAATGAAACAGATGAAGTCCTGGCAGTCTCATGGGAGAGACAGCCAAAAAATAAAAACAGGGTGCTTAGGTCCCAGATTCCCACTGGAGGCTCAGGGGAAACCCCTCTGAGGAAGTGTCATCAACAGGAGTTAAGCAGATACAAAGTTTAGGAAAAGCATGTCCAGAGAGAAGGCAGGTGCAAAGGCCCTGGGGTGTACAGAACCAGAAAAGGCCAAGTGCCTGAGCAGAGCTGCTGGGAGGGAAGGAGAAGACAGGGCCAAAGGCTGAGTGTCAGGCCAGGTGAGAACTTTGGGTTTTATGGAGCCAGCCCCCAAAGGCTGGTAAGGAGAGGGTGGGATGTTCCTACGTGTGTTTTCCCAGGCCCTGGGCCGGGAGCTGGCAAGGCCCAGAGACGAACCCACTGCATTTACCCTCAAGGAGCAAGTGATCAATGAAGAAATGTCTAAGGTGACTGCTTCGGGATCTGGGGGGTTCCAAGCTGGATGTGAGGGCCCAGGGAGGCTTCCTGGAGGAGGAGTCCTGGAGCCTGCAGGCTGGGCAGGATAGTCTGGCAAGAAAGGGGGAAGAAGGCAGTGGGTGCCCTGGCAGCACCACACTCAGCCAGCTCCTTCCAAGCACCTTAGTCCTTCTCTCACCCTCACAATGCCCCTCTCAGGTAGATATCAGATTTATCCCAATTTTACGACTGGGGAAACTAAGGTACAGGGTGGCTAAGTAACGTGGCCAGGGTCATACAGCGAGGTGGTCAGAGCTGTGCGGCGACGAGACCAAACCCAGCAGCCTGGCTGCCCCGTTGCCGGCCCACATTCAGCGTAAAGATGAGGGTCGGGGGCCCAAGACGCTCACCCCTTCCGCTGCCCACTCAGCTCGGAAAGCCCCAAAAGGGGCTGGAGAGGGTCAGAAGATCCCTGGGTCCCTGCACAGGGAGGTGGCCAGTTGTTTTTCGAATCCTTTTCCATTACAGAAACATGCTGAACACTATGGGTGAAATGGTGGCCAGTCTGGGATCTGCTGCAAGATATACGGGCAGGGGTGGGAGATGGGGAGGGTTACAGATGAAAACAAAATTGCCTGGGAGCTGGAAACTGTTGTGTCGAAGCTGGGGGCTCCTTCTATCATTTTTTCTATATTTGGGGATGTTTGAAGTTTTCCATAATGACGAGGTAAACGGGGAAAAAATGCCCAAGACCTCCACAGACCTGGGCAATGCAGGGGCCCAAGACTAGAGGCAAAGCAGGGGGTGTCCTGGCTTCCCTGGTTTCCCTGGCCCGGAAAGTGGTCCCAAGGGAAGGTGACAAAAGACAAGGGCTGGCTGCTTCGATTCCAGACCAGTCCTGGCTGGCGGCGCTGCCTGCCACCATCCAACCCAGGCTGAGCCCAGCCAGGGAGGAGACTGAGGCCAGGCGCAGGGCTGACGGAGCCCCAGGTCTGCACAGCTCCGCAGCGGCGCCCTTAGCAGGGGTCTCCGGGGGCCCAGCCTACGGGACTCAATGGCAGAAAGCAGGCTGGCTCTCAGGAAGTGGGCAGCAGGCCTGCTACTGCAGGGGTGGAAGAAAGAGCAGGTTGTAATTGTGGAGCACGCAAGGAATTTCAGACTTCCACTGCTTTTTTTTTTTTTTTTTTTTTTGGCGGTATGTGGGCCTCTCACTGTTGTGGCCTCTCCTGTGCTCCCGTTGTGGAGCACAGGCTCCGGACGCGCAGGCTCAGGGGCCATGGCTCACGGGCCCAGCCGCTCTGCGGCATGTGGGATCTTCCCGGACCAGGGCACGAACCCGTGTCCCCTGCATCGGCAGCAGACTCTCAACCACTGCGCCACCAGGGAAGCCCTTCCACTGCTTTTGATCCTCCCGATTTATAGAACACTTTGAGGATATAAACAGGGGAGCGTGAGGTTCCTTGAAATGAGCTGCGTGATTCCATGGAAACATACCCAGGTGGTTTTCTGCCTGAGTTTCACAAACTCCTATTCATCCTTCAAGACCCATCCAACCTCCCTATTCTGTCCCCTGTGCTCCCACCCCTCGAATGGGGCTGTAGTGGCTTGTTTGGGTCTGTTTGCTCATCACCCCATCCTCAGTGCTGGGCACTGACTGGGAGAGGCTAGGTAAAGCTGGTGGATGAGTGAGGGTGTCCCTCATGAGTCCATGGGACCTCTGAAGGTGGGCTCTCTCTCCTCCTGTGGCCTGGCACAAGCCTATGGAATGAAGCGGAATGTTCCTCCTGCTTTAGAAACTCCACGGACACACTATGTGGACACATCCCCACGAAAACATCTGACACTGGTGGCTCACCAGTGCCGCACACCCAGTGTCAGTAAACACGGAAGCTGCCCTGCATCTGGTGGCACCATGCATACAGCAAACGCTCGGTAAATATTAGCTTGTGCATTATTATTATGATCACAGTTTAGCTGCGGGATCTGAGCTTTCCCGACACAAATGCCCCAGGGCTGTCTGGCTCGCAGACGCTTGTCTCTGCGGGGGCCCTGTGTCATCCTTATCACCCGAGCGCAACCAGCCCCTCAGCTAGAATGGGACAGCAGGGCCCGCCCCTGGAAACACTCAGCCCTGAAGGCCTGGTACACAGCAGGCGCCCAAACAACACCTACACGCAGCTCAGCGAACCGCACAGCGGGCTCAGCCGCCTGCCCACACAGGCCGCCGGGCTGGAAACTGCAGACCCTACAGACGGAGGCGTTCTCAGCACCAGCCTCGGGGAGGGATTCGGGCCAGGACTGCCTACAGTCAGGGCCTCTTTGCAGAGAAGGAGCCTCTCTGTTGGCTCAGATTTGTGTCTGGGTGTTAAGTGGGGTCATGTGTGTGCCTGGAGGTGGGAGACTGTCAGGCCGGGGCTTAGCTCCCTCTGCGAAAGGGGTCACCCAGCCCCTCCTGTCTGACCCTGGGGCTGGAGATCCATGGGCTCCCCACAGCACAGGGGGCAGCAATGGTGCTGCCACCTCACTGGGACGGCCCATGCCTCCACACCCACGCTGGAGGCCCCACCAGACCCCCTGCCTGGCTCCCGGCTCCCTGTCCCCTCGGTTCTGTGCTCTGACATCACCTACTCAGGGCAGCACCTCCACCTTGGCCTTGTCGCCCATGTCATCCCCTGCCCCGACGTCCCGCCTCATCCCCACCACGTGAAACTCCACTGGATCCCACGAGGGCAGGGGTCTGTCCATCTGCCCAGAACGGGCCGTCCCCCAGCAAGGGCTCTGGACGGTGCTGGATGGGGTGAGGCCACATGCCCGGGGCCAGCACCAAGCCAACCCCTGCAGACCCCCGAGCCCTCCCCAGCATCGGCAGATGAGTCCCCACATGCATCCCTGCGTCCGGAAGACCGGCGGGGGCTGAGTTAGGAAATGTGCCATTCATGCCGCCCCTCAAGCATTTGCCCTGTCACCCAAAATCTTCAGGTAACCTAGTCCCCCTCTGGCCCACAGTTCATGGGCAGACAACCTTACCTGATCACTTCAGCCACCTGGCCGCACGCCTCTCCCCGTCCAGCCCTGGGGAGGTGAGGCAGGGGCTCCACGAGCCTCCAAACCAGAGCGACAGTGCAATCCCAGATGTGAGGGTGTGCGGGTGCCTCTCCCTCCCGGCCCCATTCGGCCACGGGCACCGTTCACGTCCCACTGCTCCCGCTCCATCTGTGCCCCCCGTGAGCCACGGGCCGAGCCCCGGCCCCCGGCCCTCACCAGCCAGCACAGCCATTCCCTACCTCTGGCAGATAGCTTCTTGGTGTTGATGATCTTGGCTGCATACTCATGGCCGGTGCAGAGCTTGACACAGCGTCGGACCACAGAGAAAGCCCCCCTGGGGGAGAAATGGGAAACAGAGGCAGGGAGCCGATTAATCCCCCGGTGAACACCCAGCACCAGTTCATGAGGCCCAGCCTCTGTGCGAGGAAGGGGCGCCCCTCCCCCAAACAACTCCCAGCCCACCCCACCCAGTGTCAGTCCGGCACGGGCCCCTTTCCCGGCAGCTGGCAGAGCCCAGCCGACTGGCACACCCAGCTCCTGCGAGACCCCCCGCCTGGGCATCCTCGTGGGCCAGCTGCACCGAGGGCCTCTAAGCGAGCATCCTCCCTCGCTCTATGCCCAGGCCGTGAGACCCAGCGAGTCCTCCCAGAGCAATGAACCCTGGCCCAGCTCCAGACAGCGGAATAGATTGGTGCAGCCTGCGGGGACTCTGTGAAGGTTCTGGAGGGAGGGAGAAGCGTCGCATAATTAAGCTGCAAAGCTGGAGGCCAAGGCCCCCTCCCCCGATCCTCCAGCAACACTGCCCCAAGTTACAGCAGAGGCTGCAGAGTCCCATAGCAGAGGAGACATTTACACGCTCACAGCATTAGTGCTTCTGAGAGGAGAGGGGGCCAGCCTGGAGAGCCAAGAGAAGGGAACCCAGGAGAGTGGGTGACCACTGCCAAGGCCATCGAGACATCCTGCATGTGGCCCCGAAACAGTGACCCGTGAGAGAAGGAAGTTTTGCGGGAGGCGGCACGGCAAGCCAGAGCCCAGAGAACAGGCCCGTGTGGGTCCAGGGCAGGCGTGGGGCACAGGCCGGAGGGAGCCCGGGGCCCGTCAGAAGGTCCTCTGCGGTGTTCAACTTGTCACCACCGTCGGTTTAATTTGATTTGAGATCATCTTCGAAGAACATCAGACCCAGCACGTATGACACACAGCCGGAACGGGAAATGTCTTGGGAAGGGTCCAGACTGGAGGCCGCCAGGGAGAGGTGGGCACAAAGGCCACAGGTGGCTGAGCACATGGGGCCAGGGGGGCTGGGGACACCCCTGACCGCAGGCCCCTCCCCCGCCTTCCCTCCCCAGAGGCCCTGCAGGCACAGCCTCCATCGGAACACAGCCTCCCCCCGACCCCCCTCATAACCCCAGCCCGGAGCCCTGCTGCCCACGCAGCCTGAGAAGCCCACCAGCTGCCCGAACCCGGACTCTGGGCCACAGGAAAGCAGCGTCTTAAACAGGGAACGCTTTTTTGCTCTAATCCTGTTTGAGATCAAAACTTCATTAAGACAGACTATTCACTTCCTTGGAAAATAAATAAATATTACACTAAATCTATTTGAACATTTTCTTAACGACCCAGGTCTTTATGATCACTAGCTGTGCTCAGAGCTGTATCTTTGCTTTTCCAAAATCAGCCAGGGAACTGGGCAGCGGCCGCCTCTGCGGGACGGGGAGCCGGGGGTTGGGCGGGGGGCACACAATTCACTCTACATCCTCTGTCCTGTGTGATTTTCTCACTACGTGCGTGGGTTACGTTCTCAAAATATTCTTTTTTTAATTATTATTTTAAGAAAAAAAACATAAAGAAAGAATTTTTTTTTTTTTTTGACCGGTGAGACTAGCTTGAGAGAGAGCGTGGTGAGGGGGAAAGGCCACAGGCTTCGAGCAGGTCTGGGTTCAAGGCCTGCTCTGCACCAGGTTGCACCCTCTGAGCCTCAGTTTCCCCGTCCATCTAAGGAGCAGGAAAGGCTCACAGAGCCACTGCGAGGGCTGGCCAAGGCTGCACTGGCCTCACCCTCACCAGCCCAGCCCACCTCTGGTCTTCGAATCCGCTTCTTGCCCAGGAGGGCGGAGGGTATCACACGTACAGTGCTGAGCCGCCACCCTTCGCGCTCTGGCCCCCAAAGGGCACGGACAACCAAGCACTGGCTCACAAGCCTCCTTGGGATAGAGCTTCCTATGCCGGAATCCGACCCCACGATGCTGGAAGTTCCAAACAGCCAGAGGCCTGCTTTTAGCATGGTGGGTGCCAGGCGAGGCACCAAGGGGCCCTAAGGTGAGCTCATCCCTGGAGGGGGAAGGGACCCACGCAGCCTGTCCACCGGCTGCTGCCCAGCCAGGGTAAGTGCAGGACTAAGTGACGGAGCCGGGAATCCTCCCTGGCACACAGCAGGATGCGCATAAATAAAGTGAATGAGAGCCGGCAGCCAGATGGACGATCCTGGACAGGCTGCCCCACTGCCCCACATCTTCCAGTTCAGACCCTGCTCTCTCCTCCATAGAAGGCTCTGGGTTGGTGATGAGGGCAGTGCCAAGCGGGCAGGAGCCAGACGCTGGAGGAAACCAGGAAGGCGGCAGGCACAGCCCCCGGCATCCAGCAAGCGCTCAATAATGGTGCTCATAGGTAGCATTCAGGCTGGCACAGGGCCTGCTCCTGAACACAGGCCTTCCTTTCCTGGAGTCCTGCCTGCCGGGTGCGGGGGAGGGCACCTCTGGAAGCCCCTCTGGTGTAGGGCTTCTCCTGCCCCTGCTGCCCGGCCTGAAGACAAGTTCTGGAAAGAGCTGCCCGACCCCCGGGCCCGGCCACCCCACCCTGGTCTGCCACGGGGCACCTGCACTCCAATGCCTGTCAGCTATAAGGGGGAACCTGGGCCGGCCTGGGGTGAGGCTGTGCCGGGCCCCTGGGGAGCCCTCAGAGCTTCAGTCTCCCAGCTGAAGACATGTGGAAGTCGCCAGGAAAGCTTGGCCAGACGCTTGCGGAAGCTCACGAGTTAGGGGGCTCTCCGTGACTTAACTACCCAGAGGGAGAGTGCAGGGAAGAGGCTCTACCCCCGATGACCACCGCCCCTCGGGCAGCCCCTCAGCTCCCCTCTTCCATCCTTGAAGCCAGCCTCCCGGTCACCACCATCCCCCAGTCTCCTCCCACCCCCACCCCAGGCATCCGCCCCCTTCCTGGTCGCTCTGCTAGTTAGTCGAGGCCCATCACAAGGAAGCCCCCCAGAAGTGCCAGCATGCCAAAAAGCATGTGCCGTGATGGCCATGGGCTGGGGGTCCCCGACACCTTGAACATCACAGACAACAGTGAGGCCAGCAACCACCCTCCCTCGGCGCTCACAGCATCTGCCCACCCCCACCCCCCCACCCCAAAACTTACAGTCATTGAGACAACAACACGGACAAAGGGCCCGGGTCCCTATCCTAAGCGCATCCCCACTGCCCCCAGGCAAACTCCTTTGCATCCTTCAAGACTCAATTCATCACCTCCTCTCGGAAACATTTCCCAGCTGCCACAGGAAGTCAGCCTGGTCTCCTCTGGACGCCGGACGCTGCACGTGTCTCGGCTCACTTTGCCCACTTCATTATAATTATTCATCTGTCCGTTTCTGACCCTACGCTGTGGCTCTCCACGTGCAATCGGGATGCTGGGGTCAGGCACAGTGTCCAGACTGTGATAAGAGAGTGAGGACTGACCTACAAGCACCACAGGTCGACTGTGGAGAGTGGAGATGCTGGATGTCAGCATGTGTCAGGCCAGCGGGACAAGAAGGGGCAGCCTTCTGGAAGGACAGAGAGATCCCGGGATGGGGCAGACTCTGGACCGCAGGCCAGCAGGAGAGGGTCACCTCCCGAGGCTTCCCTGGATGAGTGGGAGCGTCTGTAGGTGGGGGGATGTCTCCTATGGAGCGGAGGCCACAGAGCCCCTGATCAAAGCAGGAGGATCCCCACTGTACCCACAGATAGGCTGGGATGAAGATGCAGAGGCACACACAGACAGGGTGGACCGTGGACTGCATCCAGGTGGGACCTGCCTGCGCTGTCCGACACTCCGACCGTCCACGAACGGCGTGGCGGGTGGTGGCCGGCTGCAGGGTCAGCAAAGCCACCCAGCGCAGCTTGATGGGGAGAAGCCAGGAAGGTGGGGGTCTGGGTGCGGGTGAAGGTCAGGGAGGGTGAGGGTGAAGGTCTGGGTGTGGGTGAAGGTGCCTGGGAAGAGAGTGTGCCTGGTGGGGGGACCCCCTGAACCTCGAGGTCACCACACGATGCCCGGTGTGGCACATACTGCTGCTCTCGGGTTTAGAGTGATCTGAATAACGTGCTCAGAGGAGGAGGCTCCCAGGCACCAAGCGTGTCATGGGGATTTTAAAAATCAGGTAAAGCTAATGAAAGGAAGAAAACACTCTTTCAGTCCTTGCTGGCTGGCAGATCAGAAAGCTCTCTCCTGTCTGCTGTGGGACCACAACACCAGACAGGCCGGCCAGAGAGAGGGGGAGGTTAACGCCAGAGCTGCCTGGGGTCTGGTCTGCTGCAGGTGGGCGCCCAGCACTGCTGTGGCCGCGTGGACCCACGGTGGCACCCGAGGGTCAGTCTCTCACCAGCGAAGGGGGTGACTGGCCCCTGCACACCGGGCAGATGCAGTGAGCCAGCCAGCGGCTCCCCGTCCCCTTTACTCTCTCTTTGCTCCCCGTCCAACCTGTGGCCATGCCTCTGAGCTGTCCCCGTGCCCGCCCGCCCGCTGCCACCTGGAACTTGCCCCTGACACTGATTACCTGCAGCCCCCATGGAGGGCCCCACTACGCCTGCTTTGGGGACCTGTCCCCTCCCTGCTCTGTTGGCCGAGCCCAGCTGCCCAGCCTGCCCTCTGCCCGCTGCCCGCTGTGCCGAGCTGGTTGTTGGTGGGAGAGGCTGATGGGGCGGGAGGGTCCGGTCTCGCCCTGTCCGCACGGTGGGGACTGCAGAATAGAACACAGAAGCGCTGACCATGGATGCTGCTCTCGGGACCCTGCATCCGGGGCCTGGGGCTGCAGGGCTTCCTCATGACGGTCATAGGCAGCACGTGCAGAGGTCCCGGCACGGACGGAGCAGGCGTCAGAATCGTGCAACCCGGGGAGCCCCTACTTCTGCTTCTCAGCGGCTGCTCCGCGCTTCCACTGCATCCCTCCCAGTAGACATTCCAGGGACGTGGCAGCTCCTGTCTCCACCGCCCCCATTCCTGGCTCCAGCCCGGCACCCGACTCCGGCTCTCTCCACCCAGTCCCGGCCTCGCAGGTACCTGCCTGCCTGCCACCAGGGCTGC